CAATCACGCGAGAGCTGCGGCCTTATATAAAGTTGGCTTTCCCGCAGCGGCTTTGAATGAAGACCTACCCCATCTGACACTAGTCGATTGTTATCGTCGGTTACTGCTTGGTTTCGAGGAATCCAAAAGCTACGGTGAGTGGTTCTCCTTTAATCACCTGCGTGCTCTAGGGGTCTCGAACTTTAGTAGGGCAGTGGAGGCGTTTGGTCGGATAGTCACAAATTGTAATAATCCTTTCAGGCTCTGAAGAAGGCGACCCCGCCGAAACGTCAGCCTAATAAAGCTCATTTAAAAACGTCGTGAAGAGTTCTAGAAAACAATAAACACAGTATACAACTATGCCGAGGTTCATAGAAAGCCGTACTTGGAAGTTGATTCCAAACTGCGTTTGGTTTATTTTTCTTTGGTCTGGATTAGGATAACATCAGCATTGCGTCAAATATAAAAAAATACTACTTTTTTAACGTTTCCCACAGAAATTTGAGATCTCGGGAGCATCTGGTACACACCTCTCCCCTTGATGGCCAATGGTTTTATCTTTCGGAGCATCACACCAGCTGTAGAACTCGTTTAATTATCCATAAGGAAGGCTATTCGTAAGATTCACGAACTGTTTGGAAGTCATAATTAGGGATGGTAGGACAATATCCTCCTTTAGCCATTGCTAGACTACTTCATCAAAGTTGACTGACATGGCTTAGTTCTTGGGTGCGCGCAGATCGTTTTATATTACCTTTTCGAAAAAACAGTCGTTGTTTTTTTTTCACTACAAGGATTAAAGTTGAAATTGCCCGAATAGTATGTAATGTAGGAAAGCATATATAGTCTAGATTGATACCTGGCATACAACTGTTATCAGTAGCGAAAGGGGGAATATTCTACCCGCTAGTGTAAGTATTTCCTTCTTTCGCTACTGATAGCAGTTGTATGCCGGGTATCAATCTAGACTATATATTCTGTCATAAAATTTAATTAAAGGCACAGTTTACGAACGATAAAAATGGTTTCTGAGATTTCCCTATAGTATGAATTCTTTCGTGGCTCCCCCTTATACCATTCCTGCCGGTGTAAGGGCGAAAAACGTCCTGGGCACAATAAAGGAAAAGAGATTGTATCGTGTGAATGCCACATCCCTAGTGGACGCGCTTCAACGGCTTTGTAGAGGCTGCACCATTCACAAGGGAACCAGGGCAGAAAGTTCAAACCACTTGTCACGACCCATAGCGACAGTAAAAAGCAATTCTGGACAGTTGTAGCTCGATGTAGCTCTTTGCTCTTTGCTTGCTGGGAGCAATTTGAATCTCTTCCAAACACCCCCTACATGCCATTTCTGTCAAGGTGATCTCGTACGGCCTCTACTTCCACTACATTTAAAAGCTTGAAGTAGGCGGATTTTCTCGCCTTCTTCTCCAACAATGTACTCCCCTACATCAACACTTCCGCTTTTCAACCTAAACAGGGTACCTCAAAGTTACCGTGAACTGTGCCTTCAAGTCTCATAGACTCAGGTATCATTCCAGCTTATCGTAGAACGATTCCACTTTCTCAGATACTAAACGAGAAAAATGAATAATCGGCTTCTTAATTAAAATTTGTCGTTCAACACTGATACGGTGGTGTTCTTTTGCGGTCCGACGTCCTGCATCATTAGGGGTTCTCCATGAACCGTAACTGCTGTCCAAATTAGAAACGGTGTTGGATCGACACGAAAATTGTCAAAAAGGGTACTATATCGCGGAATCTTCACGGTGCAAAATTTTGGGTTATCCGGAGAGTAGTGTCAGGTGAAAGTGCTGGAAAACTTGTGGCTGTTTACTAAATATATCTTGGTTTAAATAAATAATGATGTTATTAACAATGAAGTAGCATACTGAAGAACTCATTTTGAGAGCGTAAAAGATTGTCGTGAACGGCAACCTTTTGCGCTAACGTCCTTATCAAGAGGTTGTTTCATGAATCCTCTCTGTTCAAACTCATGTATCACACATCAACTGAGGTTCACTTAATTAGAAAAAGGGTTGTTGTATTTTTCAAAGTTAATATAAAATATAAAAGATGGTTGGCTTGCAACTTCTTAGTTCCTCCGTAATGGCAAACAAAGGTACTTTTCTGAAAAAAGTAGCGCAGTCACTGTGGTTGTTCCTTCTTTACTTACATGAATGAGGTGGCCATTGCAAAAGAATTGCTCTGAAAAGTCCGTTTGGGGAAAACCAAAGTCAGGATTCAGGCACTTTGGAGATGGTTCTAAAAGCACCATCGAGTCTTTACGGGAAGGCAGCCAGCTAATTCGGATCAAGCCGAATTGCCAACAAAACTATCCGCAACATCCATGTCAATGAGACCTCATTCGATTTGGGGTTGGTCTAAATCATTTTATCGTTACTGTAACCTGAGCGAGAGACTGCAAAGCCAATCTTACTTCCGGGACTTTTTTCTCTCCACGTTTCAAACGTACCGAATTCTTGACGATCTGAGATATTATTTGGTGCTTTCAGCAACATCACTATCATCATTGGTTTGTTCCATCTTCGAGAGAATGCTACGAGTTTGCGCAGTAGAGCTGGCCAGAACTCGCTAAGGCCAAATCTGAAGAATTTGCTAGGCCTTTAAAAACCTTCTATATTTTCTGCGTTGATCAGTTCTGCTTTGCGATAAGTTTCACATTTTCCAATCAGAATAGTAAAGGCATTCGGACGGACTAGAAAGCCTCAATCCTGGCTATGTCTACCTCTTACACTTGTACCACCAGCTGTCCAACCCATACTAAAGCTCATTCAACATCTGCAGGGCCTGAAATTCTTGAAGTTCTCGTGACAAATTGAAGCAGGTCGTACGCTTCGACTGAAATAAGGTGAAACTTATGGAGAATTATACGGCGGTTGTATTGTATCCATGACAATGTCATCATGTTTATATTGACTTAACTCGGATGTTTAATGATCGGAGGATATTATGAGACTTATGGCCAAACGGTAATACTTGTAAGAATGACCGATCTTGCTTGAACAGATCTTTTGGAGGCAGTTACTGTGATAAATAGACAGTCACAGATTCGGATTATCACAGCAAACAATTGCTAAGCTACTAGATCATGAGTGGAAAGTTCATTTGATAGTTACTTGTTTCGAAATGTTGTTTTGATAAGTGTTGTTATTTCGCCGCAGTACGCGATGCAAAAGTTCACAGTGTCGGCGATTCATGGACAAAACCTCGGCCCTGGACAGGATTCGAACCCGTACCCGTGCTATCCGGACACCGTGCTCTTATCCCTTGCACTACCAAGACCCCGCTTGCCTTGGCTCATATGCCATAGATTGTTAGCACTTACATATACAACTTGTAAAGCAACGCAGCCATTATCGGCATTGAACTGTTAAGCTGTAAGCTTTTCTTGATAGCCGTAAGCGTCATCTACTATTGAATGGAAGTTCTATTAGAAGTTTCCAACTTACCTTTTTATCTGAACCTTCCTTGTCAAGGGTCCCGTGTCAAATTTGGCTAGTCTACGTCGTTCGGGGCAATCCACTTCAGAAATTTGTAATCAGAATTGTATTGGTTGTTCTGAGAAGAATAGAGCTGAGCATTAACGTGTGGTGGTAAGCGAGGGACGAAATATCAGCATACCTCGCGGCAGTGATAAAGGAGTGATAGGTAAATCACTTGGAGTATGGTTCATTTGTATTCTTTTGCCTGTTAAAGAAGTAGAAGCTCGGTAGGTCACTTGTGTGTCACTAGTCTTCTCGTCGATTCATCACGATTTCAGATATCAAATGTTGTTGGGGTATTCGAGCAGTAACATTTACTTGGTGGTTAACGTGATCGCAACTCTACTAACTATAATATGTAAGTTCAAAAATACAGTTGGGGAATTTCCCATGCAGATCGAAAATGGATGAATGACCACACAGTAGACTATCGATAAGCTTAGCTGCTAGCTCAAATGCATGACAGAAAACAGCAAGACAAACCCAACAGAAACTTTCCTCAGTCGTACGAGTACTCTCTGAGCATAAGACCCTTCTAACAGAGAAGCACTCTTTGGCTTTATTATCAACCTGTAGTCATACTAGGGGTCCCATGAACTACGTCTTTCATGGCAGAGGCAAGCGCTGAGTGTGAGCTGAGATCGTACGGATACAAAGATGATAAGTGATAGGGTGTTGTTGAACCCCGTATGACGCAATGGAATGCAACAGGAACCACCAAAACGGTTGTTATCTTTCGCGGGTCTTGATAGGTAGGTCTCTGACCTGCAAGGGATGGGTTGAGAAGGTTGGAAGTGGCAGGGCTGCTTATTGGTTGAGAGTGTAAGCTCGTGGCCATGCTCGCGAAGGCCATCAGATCGACACCTGCTTGTGAAAATCTGCAGAAGTGATGATCAGACCGCTTACTGAGAAGTCCTGGAAGTGAAGCACAGGAACACCCAAGTTCATGCCTTTAGGAGACACGCTGAAAAGTAACAGAAATCAGGCAATCTGATGAAATTGTCGGATTCTCCTACAGTGGCGGAGTCAAAGAAGCTGTCTCCGCAGACAACAGGATCGGCTACCGTATCATGGCTTTTGAATAGGCATGAAAGGGGTACTGGACTACCATCTCGGTATGGACCACAGCAGACTGTCTCGTAAAAAGACTACCCACCGTAGGCGGTGTTCTGAGTGGTCGTGTCGACATTAAACGGAAAGGTTTAGGAGAGATTCATTTGGGTAGAGGCGTTAGAGTCGGAAAGGATCAGGGAGAAAGGATTCTTGACCAGAGCATAGCCTACGACCTAATAGCCTGTAGCACATTTACTGGGAAAGAAAAACTCGAAGGATAGCCAATACCCAGCGGTGGGAAACAAAGAGAGTAACACCGCGTCTTGGAGAGAAGAGGGCTGCTCAAAACTCTACAGAACATCGAGGTAGTGCAGGAAGAAGAACCGACTCGACGGTTCAAACTATCCCTGGCACTCGAAGCACTGTACTTTTTCAAAAGGGGTCATCAGAGTCGATGTCGTAAGTGAATTGGGAATATAAACTTCACCAAGCTGATGTTGAGAGGAAGAGATTACCCTCACGGCTTGCAAAAGCCCGGCTTCAGGCTACTGAAACGATAGGGCAGATGAATGCAGTCAGTATCAGCGAAAGTGCAGTCTCAAGGAAGTTTGTTGAAGTGAATCGCAGGTGGGAAAAATACTTAGACGAACTCCTGAAAGAATAGTTCCATCGCGAAAACACCGACCAAGTGGAGGAAATTGGTGGTCCCGTCGCACCCTACACAGAAGATGAAATGGATCGGGCAATTGGGGAGATAAAGTTTGGAAAGCTTCGTGCATGTGTGTGTATGGCAAGTATGTATATGTGTGGGAGTGTGTGCCACCGGAATATACCAGTTCCTATGTTATTGAAGCAGAGTGACTAGACCGGTCATCTTTGAATCATTGGCTGGGCTATCCGACTGGTAATGAAGCAATAGGAGCCCTCATAGAATCCTCTTGGGCTGTCTAAAACACTGAAGTTTTGTTCCTCTTCTCTCAGGGAATTCAACGGCGTGCGGCTCCTCTGGCAAAGGTGATCAGCTTGCTGTGGAGGTGCGCTTTGTCTCGCTTTGTAGACACAGTGAAAGCTGAAAATACTTGGTCAAGTATTAGCCTCAGAAATATCACCACAATTGCAGGACTTCTTAAAATCTCCCGAAAAAAGTTCCAAAGGGTCGATTTCAAACGAATCGAATAGAAAAAGGACGTCATCCTCATCAAAGTCGAAGTCAGGAAAGCAAGGGCCGAAGAGCTCATACCAAGGTCCGGGACCAAGGCGAAAATCTAGTGGGCGGCCACGGATGCCGCGTGCTAAACGTCCGACACTATCGGTTTGTTTCAGGATAGCTGTCCATAGGTCGAATCGTGGACTGAATGCCCAACAATTTATTTTACAGAGAAGCGATGCTCTTGATTTATTCCCAAAAGTAGCCCGAGCTACTCCCGATCAAGGAACGCCCATGAATAAACTGCAAAGGATTGCTTTGGGAGCTAAGAAAGACAAAGATGTATGAATTGCTTTGACAAACACTTCTGGCAAAAACCCTCCAAGTAGTGAATAGTTGTTGCATTGACTTAAGTTCTCTACTTCAGGCTTACCCCACATTCGACGACATTCGAAGTGATTGGGATGACGAGAAGGAGGTTGGGTACCCTTAGATTTCCTTCCAATTCCAATAAATACTCTACCTACAGAAAATCAAACCAAAACAAGTCGAGCTGGGAGACAAGGAGAAAAAGATTGCAATGGGAGCAAAAAAGGATACATCTGTAATTTGATTACATTCGACTTCGTCCTTGAGCAGACAGTTAAAGGTTGATGGCGAAAGATTTCAGGCTTATCCTACTATGGATGATATTATGAGCGATTGGGATACGAATGAAGACGGAGAAAAACAAAAGAAAAAGGTTTATAGAACGCTCTTCTACTGCTCCAACAATGGTAAACCCCACACACAGCTGGCCCTTTCCTGGAAGTTTGCTTTGCTTATATGGGCTCCCACTCACGCCAGGGCTTCCAGAAACCTAGAACCGAACGTGAGCGGAGTTCCCTTACTTTTAACTGGTGAAGGTACCGTTTCATCACATCTGCATTGGAAAAGAGGCGATTTATGCAGCTTGCTGCCAAGACTGAGGTCGTTCGAATATATTCGTGTCCAGGCTGAAGCCCTCTGACAAGAGAACTGTTTTGTAGCAATGGCTGTGCGTATCCACCCACTAGGCAACATCCAAGCAATGGGACTTTAGGCTCGATTCAGTCGAGCTGATCCAGAGACATTCGATAGAAGACATACTTTCATAGAAAAGGCAGTGAAACATATCGCTGGATGGCATACGTGAACCTCACGAGGCGTTCCGCTGGATCACAACCTAGGATATTTCAGATTGTGACAAGTAGATAATAAGAGCTGAGAGCAAGAGGCAATCGAGAACATGGTTGCGCATTGAGCTCAAATGCCTTACTTTGACCTGCTTTAGACGCAAAGTCTTCTCTGAAATACATCTTAATGGATTGCTGGAGCGCGAATCTAACACTACTTTTCAGAAAGATACAGAATCCAGAGCAAAATCATGGGTCGGTCCCAAGAAAAAACGGTGATCAGTCTCTAAAAAACGCCAATGAGATTTGCCTCACTAGTCACATTGTTCTTTGCAATTAAATTGTTAATGAATGAATGTGTATTCATCTTCTCCATAGCGTCGATATTGCTCAGGCTTGTTGCCTTTACAAGAAGCCCTGTTTTTCCTAACAAGAACTTGTGCCGTGGTCATGATCAAAATCAAATCTTTCTTGAACGAATCCCTCCAATCCATGGCAGGAGCGCTCATGTACGTTAATGGAACAGCCTTGCTCGACCAATACTTAAGAATTTTAGGTCCAGAATTTTAGGCCTCCCACACGAGTAGGCCTCTTCTTCTTCGTGCAACCTGACAAAGATTCTACCCAGGTTCTTGCACATGATTTTGGTCTAGGGCAATATCTGCCGCAAAATATCTACGGTACAGATAACCATATGGTATTGCTTCGAGCTTTAAAGGCACCGTTCACGACAAAAAAGTTATTGAGTTCTTACCTTATTAATACTCAGCGGCCCCCATGGGTTGTAGAAGGGTCCTCCTCACTCCCGCAATTTCGACGTCCAGGGCATAATGGCGGGCCCGTTGTTGTCGTAATTCGCATCTCCGCCCCTCGACCGATGTCACGTTAGACGAGTGTCGAGACGAGACAGAGTCATGTAATCGCGTCAGGACCCATCCTGAACTGCAAATTGGCAAATTGCCAGAGACGCAATGTGTTGTCTGCTATTGCAGACAACACATTGCGTCTATGGCAACTTGCCAATTTGCCGTCTCTGGCAACTTGCCAATTTGCCCGAACACTCTCTAACCGACGTTCTTTCAATGTGAAACTCGTCCAACCCCCTTTCCAGCTCTTTTTTTGGCCCTTTGTAATTCTTTTTGTTCATCGTGTTTTGCGCTTTTTTCGTTGCTATCGCTTTATTCTAGAGTAGTTCTATCGATTTCCCGTCAAAAAAGGACACCCTAACTTTTTTGTGAATGGTGCCTTTAAATGCAAATTGTCGACTTCCATTCACTGCTCTGGGCTATTTGCAGAGAACCTGGTTGTCGGCTACCTTTTCCCTATACGTTGCTCCGTTCTTATTCTCGTCCTCATTAAATTTAGAACAGCTGCTCTGGTAGAGATTAAAAGTAAAAGCCAACCCCTTCCCCTCTCTGAGCATTGATAAACCTCGCACTCGACCTCCATTCAGAATCGTAGTGGTGTATCGAATGCGAGTGCGGCCGATACAATCGCCTTGTGGAATCCATGAAACGACTACTAAGATGTTGGAAATATTTATTAATGCAACAAAATTGAGCACCGAGCAGAATAGATTATCCTAATGATCTCAACAACACTATTTACAATAGTAAGCTAATTATAAGCAACAATATCAGAATAGAACACCATTTCCTCATGTTTCCGCCTAGATATTAAATTTCATAACGAAATCATCACATAAAAAGTAAAACAATCGTGCGAGATATGTAGGTATGAGCAAGGCATGTTTACAAACAGAAATTTATTCCATATACTGCCTACGCGATTATTCCCCGAGAATGAAGTATGTGGGAGCTGGACAGGGTAAGAGGGCCGGGATAGGAGAACCGCTCCCTCACTGCGAAACTTTTTGAGAACTTCAGGGGAACGATTAATAAAAGGAAGAAGGGCGAACTCGTTTGCCAGTTCATAATCTCATTTTGGCATTTGGCATCGCTGTGTTGTATTCAATACAAATTGACCTATTCAGAACTTGTAGCCGCGGACCGAGACATGCTTCTACCCTCCCAGTCGAGCCTGACACCAATTTGCCGATGGCGGAAGGCTTGGTTGACCTGGGCAAGCATTATTCTGGGAGTCAGTCTCCGAATAATGCCTGTGACAGTTTGCGCCACTTGCCATTTCACCCCTTTCACCGCCCTGAGGAAAACTGATATTATAGACATACAAACGAATTGTTCTTCCTAACTACTCTTATAGGGCAGAGGTGGTGTAGTGGCATGTGGCGCAATTCATGGTCACGGGTTCGAGTCTCGGATCGACTGCCTAAGCAAACCAAGCCTTCCATCCCTCCAGGATCGGTTAATTGGTACCAGACTCCATTACTACGAAGAACCTATCAATAACCGATGAAAATTTTTCTGAAAATGAGCACACTTTCAATAGGGGAGGGTAGGGAGGCTCCTAGAAGTCAAAGGGTTACGCTCCTGAAGTAGGAAGGGACTCCTGCCTACTTTATAGTCTCGAAGAAGAAAAGGTCCTAATAGTTCTATTAATATCAGGCGGACACAATATAAAAGATGGAGAACAGAACAGCAATCAGTTCGTCCTGGGAATTTCAGTTATCATGAAATGGCTATGGCTGAACAGGATGCATACCATTCCGAGATGGGAGCCATGCTATTGGTTTACCAACTCCCACCAGAGAGCAATATCTTGAGTAGATTCGATACTTGGAACACGAGTGGCGTTGGAGTTTGCACCCGAAACCGTAGAAGTCTGGAATAGTCACTTCAGGAAGTTAACAGAAATAGAAGAGGAGCATACTCACAGAAGTTTGTTGTGGGAGGAAGAATGGCATAGAGTTTTCATCATTTTCGCCTTTGAATTTCGGTGGAGAAAATGTTCCTTCTTCGACTTTCTCTTCGAGATCCGGTAAATCGTACACGTTCAACTATAAAATTAGCAATCATTTCTGAATTCTCTCTTCCTGAAAACCTCACATACATGCAACGTTTTGCTCGCTGACGATTTCTTTGCCTCCGCTCTCTTTGGAAGTAGCTGTGCCACTTCCGGTTGACGAAGTGTACGAGCTTGAGATAACTTTTTCTCGCTAGTGGTCGACATAAACTTCTTTGCTGCTTCGTGTAAAAGAGTCGATGTTTGGAACTAAATTGAAATTACTTTGGATAAACTCGAAATTTCAGGCTGCTAGAAATGAAAGAAAATTCATATATCTAAAGGCACAGTCGAGCCTAATATGGGGTATATGGTTTTGGACGAAAAATGGAAGTGATGGCATAATTCAAGCAAAAGTGACTAAGAAAACACGAAAATGGAGCTACATTGGAATTGTAATTCTTCAAATAGAAACAGTGACTGTGAATTGTAAAATTAGAGGTTGGACGAGAATGTTACGATAAAATTTGCTTGGAAGAGGAAGTTGGACGAGTTGTGCGATGAGTGTGTCAGTACAGTTGGCCAAAGTGAGCTGCCTGCGTGCAATGTGTGCGTCCCAGTACAAATGATGCTCTACATTCTCTACAATACCGCTGGAGAACTCGTCCTCCTTTGGGTGTGCACTCCTGCTAAGCCGCTTGTACCTATTGCGCCTATTACGCCCTCTCTAAATCGTTTTCCGACCCAAAAGCGTCCCTTTTGCTATCCCTACGGGTTACGGGTTTATCCTGGGGAAGAATTTCAGAAAAAAAACTTATAGCGTGACCTGTACGATCTTCTCTTAATTTCCAATTGACTAGAGTGAATAGAAAAATTAATGAAATCTAGAATCATTTAAATCTAAAAACAACTTACAGAAAATGCATCAGGTATACTGCTTCTACGATTTCTGATCGCTTTCTTTCGAACAGGAGCTGGACGTTCGATATCTTCCGTAGAAGAGAAATCGTCTTGGCCAAATCGGAATTGTGGTAAATCATCGTCATGGCCCGACGATGACAAACCTGAAGCAAAGGCAATGCAGAATCTCTCTTATTTATAAAGCAGAAACTTGGTGTGTCGGCTTGTTGGTCTGTCCGTCCGCAAAAATTACGATTACGATAAAGGTAGTGGTGAAATGGGAAACCTTGCTCTATTCTACATCCTTCTTATATGTGGTGGATATGTTGATGGAGTAGAGTGAGTACTGCGGAGTGAATTGAGAGATGTGGGGTGGAGTGGGTACTTCAAAACCATGATTTCGATCTGTACCAGCATCGTGCTATGTATGTCTTCACAAAAATCGGAGGTGATAATGCAGTGGGGAGACCTCCGCTTTTCTTCAACACAGTTTCAGGTGGGGTTAGTCAATTGATTATTTAACTCAAACCCATCCTAGCATGCTGCACGAGGTAATCATCCCACCTCCACTTCGCAGTTCCTCCCTTACTAAGGCTTAGCTTGAAATCATATTCTTCCACCTAGAACCGTTTCTAACTAAGTACAGGTCAGGTCGGCTACCCCTTCTCTGCAAATTAACCCTCATAATTGATAAATTCAATTTCCCCTCCCTTAACTACACTTTCTAACCTTTTGGTAAAGGTAAGGAATGAGGACCGGCGTAAGCCGGGCGGCCCGACTGATGCAGAATAAAACGTATACTGCTAAATGTAAAATAAAGTTGTAATGTAAAGTAAGTGGTGAATTCTGCTCTTACAAAGCGGCCAGGGAGAGGCCCTTTGCATCGCAAAAATGCAGTTCACATCCGGAAAACTGGTGAAGGAGTGACACCCTTACTACCATATGTATCATACCATACAACGAATCATAATCATTACTTCCCAAATACGGTTTTATTATCTTTAAATTCTCTATATAAAAAACTTGCGTCTGATGAAGCATATAGAGCATGATGAAAAGCGCACATATGAGTTGCGCACTGGCGAGGCAGGAAAGCATGGCAACCTTGATTCAAGTCAACCGACGAATCAAAACTAATCGATTTACAATCGATTTACAATCGTAAACTAATTCCGGATAGGTTATTTGTACATCGATTCACATTTACCTGCTGATCCTGGATGTGAGTGCTTGGCAGAATCAGAGAAAGTATCCTTCTGCTTCTGAGGATTCCGGATCCGACGAAGACAGTTTTCAAGCCATGTTCGAATAGTTTGTTTTGCCACTTCCTCTTCTATTATGAATTCCAATTCCTCTCTCTGAAAATTCTCACGTTGGCTGTCAGAGTGGCTGTACATACCGAGCAATCATGATTCTTTGTTACAAAATTGTACCTCCCGCCTGATTCCAAACATTTCTTCATCGGACTTTTGTGATGTGAATTACTTCACTATTTCTAAAGAATAGAAGTATGCCCTGAGCAAGTCTGGCGTTCCTGGTTTGTCGCAGTAAAGGGATAGATCGACTTGAAGACAGAATTCACGGTAATTTTGTGGCACCCTTTTTAGTAAATAAGTGGTAGGTTGCGATTAGTCCATGGGTAGTGGAGAGAACTTCTTCCAATTTCTAGAAAATAAGGCTCCTTAAAAGTAGGGGAAATTTAGGTTGGACAAAAATGCCATGATGGGAATAACATGAAAGGGATATCCGGACATGATTTCAACTGTTGTAATTTCATAAGCTATTTTTATTGTGAATTGTGCCTTCGAGTCAATGTATTCGTTTGGTCACATATAGGCGAATATCTCTTCACCTAAACCCTTGACATTTTCTGACAAAAGTGGTGAGTCTTAAAAAGCATTTTTGATAGGTTCACTCTTTTCTTTTTTCTACGGATTCGAGTCCCAAAAAAATTGTTTTCAGGTTCAGATAATGTTAAGCGTTACCTGCAGAAGCTCTTCGAGTTGGAGTGATTTACGGATGTCAACAGAACGATAAGAAAGCATACTGAAAAAGTTACTAGAAGTCAGTGCTTTTTACTTTGTGCTATATGCTGTGGTGTTTATTTTGTACTAATTTCAAATATTTTTCAAGGAATATAAGAAAAACTCACTAGAGTACGTCATGGAATGAAACGTCGTCACCATTGTGTAGTTTGTCCATTTCGTAGCACATGTGTTTGAAGAGCACCCGGTCTTTCTCTGGATCTACCTCTAGCCGACCCTTAAAAGGCAAGAGTTTCTTTTCCAAAGTTTGATAGGGTTAGACTGAACAGGAGGGCGACTTGCAAAGAGTACATCGCTATGGCCAAATCAAATGAGCGGCTCAAGTTGTATGGCTGTAGTAGGGGGGAAATGAGAAAAAGGAAGAGATTAGTTGGACTCGAATAAAATTTTCGGAGGGCATTTTTAACTCGGTATTCCAGCAGAAAGTCTATATTTGTTCCGATAAGAATTTCCGTCATCCCAGTCATAGATGACTTCGATTCTATGCCATACTCTGAATAGGTGTTACAAACCTCATGCACAGAAAAATGTATTTCTCCAAATCGCCCTACGTATAGATGCCTCTGGTTGCTTTTATGAAACGGTTTCTGATAGAATAACCGGCAACTGCACCCAAACTGATGAGTGTTAAAGGCACAGTTCACGATAATTCAAGGGGCGGGGACGTCAATGGCCTTCCCGCCTCTCGATCGAAGTCGCGTCAGACGGTCAGACGAGTTCGAGACAATACAGATTGCAGACTTCGTTTTAGGACCAACGCACAGCTCTCGCCGAGTGATGGGGCGATATATTTCTCCCATCTTTTTTCCTGTTTTTTTTTTTGCTGCCGCGATCCCTTCTTTAACTTCCTATTCCTAGAGGCCGAAAAGGTGAGCTACTTGTGCTGTTACTAGGTTTTTTGTTTACTTATGCTTGTAATTGAATGAATTTTCGCTTACCATTGTCTTTTATTCGCACCAGGACCCACACGTACGCAGTGAGACACATTGTATAGCTCGTCCAAACGCCCCACTCTTCTTCATTTTTCTGAACTCATTCTCGTCCAGCCCCCTGTTTAACGGTTCTTCGAAGCCTTTTTTCAGTTTGGAAACACCGATCCACGCAGTTACTTCACATTCAGTGCACTGTTTTTGAACCTGTCTTCCATTTTTTATCATAATCTGATTACCCAAAATTATCGTGAACTGTGCCTTTAATTAAAAATTTAATTAGAAGACACGGGTAAGGTCACATGGGCACGTTCATAAACCAGGAATTTGGTAAAGAGTCGCAATACAATATCACTCCTGATAGAATGAATGAGCTTGCTCCCGCTATGGCTATGAACCCTATGGCAATTGCATGACAAGTAGCTATTGAACGTTGTTACAAAAATCACCTTCAACAATCGTAGCAAGAACTTGACTCTCCCAACTGGTATCGATCTCTTCTGCTCGCGGTCCACCATATTCCAAACCAGCTAAAATACCGTTGGATTACCGTTTTCTTAATACAACTCGTGTAATGAATCTTTTTCCGTGTTCGATAGAAGGAAATTGAAAGGAAAGGGAATCGAACCACCACAAATCGAGAAACCTCTCTGCAAATCCATAAAACCCTTCTATTTTGTTAAAGGAGATGTGAGTAGCCCCATGGGGCCCGTCAACGTACAGGCGCTGTTTCTCTGCTTTCTAGTGTAAGAGATAAAGTCTTTCGGCGTTGCCCAACCCCTTCTGAGGGATGCGCCCCGCACTCGACCTCCATACAGAATCGTAGTGGCGTAATAAATGGTCTGGCCGCCTATACAATGACTTGGAGTGGTCATGCATGTGTGATAGTGCGCCACTTGCCACTACACCATATCTGACATATGTTCCTTATGAAATAATGTTAATTAATGCATCAATGTACCTGGAAGTTCCGAATATCAGCATAACTAAGAAGGGCATCTTCTTCACTTGAATAGAACAATGAAAAATTCTCCATGATTATGGCTAAAAACAAAAAGAGTTCGAAAAACAAGGAGATTTAGGAAGAAAAGTAGCCGCTGCTCACCTACTAACAAATTTCTGACAATATAGGTTATGATAAGGTAGAAGGAGCAGAAGTAAATAATTGCACCGTAGTAGTTCCCACAGTCGGTGTTCCAGTAGTTCATACCTTCTTGCCAATAGCAAAATGGTGGACTTCTCTTTAAAGAATCTTTTAAAAATTCAGTTGCTGAACCTGGATGGGGAAGAGCAAGACAGGTATTTTGAGGAGCTTTACCATGCAGTCATGCATGATGTCGTTCCAATCTTCGCCTGTAATGCTTCTGAAAAGCACAACCAGCGCTTCGGAACCCGTTCGAAAGTTGACATGCCTGAAACAAGTGGTCATGAAGAAGTCAGCCTATCCGAGAGCATTCTAAGAGAAATGGGTTTGCAGTGAGAAACTTTTTTCAAAAAAGGAAAACTTTAATACAACCCATGAAAGAGCACTCTTGAATAATAAAAA